TGACCTTTGTAAGAGACTTACTTGTGCCCATGCACTCCATGAAGGACCAGTAACGCAGGTATGAATTTCACTCTAGCATCTGAAAGTTAGGCAGTGCCACTGCTGCTGGAAATCTGGCTACTAGCTCTCTCTACATGGTTTAGTCTGAGGTGTCCCTGCCCATTGCAAGGGGGTCCTTTCCAATCCTGACTATTCTGTGATTCTATTTTGAAGGCAAAATAGAGAACTAGAAATAGTCAGAATTATAATTCAAGGGAATTCGTCTTTTAGCTGCCTTTTTTTACAGTATTTCTGTTGAGTTGTTCTGCTTTTCCTATTATTCCTTGTATTTCTCTCCCCAAACTGAGATTCTGTAGTATTTTACTTTCATTAAGGGAAAATTTCATATGGTTGCTGTCTACCTATACAAAGGAAAAGAAAAAAATGCGTAGTTAGTATCCTGAATAGAGTGAATTGCATAATGAAATGTTACTCATTTTGAACTTGGACTGTGAGAATTTAAGAAATATGGCCTAACTGTACAGCATGAGTTGTACATGCTTGTCCCTGAGAAATCAGTTATAGTTTGCACTCCCAACAACTCGTAATTTACAGAACGTAAGCTGACAGATACTAGTGTTTTGAGATTCTTTATCGTAAGAAATTACTTATTCAAGTTCAATCTTGACACCCTTGCTTAAAAATGTATCATTTTTAGGGACTCTCCTTTAATGTGTAGTCACTGGAAATTGGAATCCTGCAGGAATTCAATGTTTTTCATTTGTTGTTCCTGGCAGCTGTGCATTAGTAGCATAAATAAATTAAATAAACAGCAACATCTGTTCCAGTCACTAGAGGCTTATTGCTGGAGTTTTCTGCATTGGATAGGAGGAGAAGCTCCAGTAGTAGAACTCAGCTTTGCAGATGAGAGATTAGTGGAATCATGAGGAATAAATGCATAAAATTGTGACCCATGGGAATTTCTCACCTGTCAAATGATGACAGTAACTAATGTCAAAGTCTGAAGTCCTTTAGTCTCTATTCTGCATTATTCATCTGAGTAGGAATCCCATTATATTCAAAGAGCTAATATGCTATCAGCCTGTACCTTACTAAAAAGAAAATCTGTGGTGTAGCTGTAAACCTAAGCCTGTACATTTTTTCTTTTAGTTCATTATTCTTGGTTCCAGGACATTAGTCTATATATGTATATGAATAGTAGTGTGCATATTTACTTGTGCATGTGCGAGTGGGACTCGATAATGCACATGTGGCCTTACATGCCCTAGTCAAGGCACCTCCCTGTCTTGCTTTGACAAAATAACAAATAAACATTGAATAGCTATGATGCACAGAAAATATGACAAGGTGATCTTGTTTAGCCTGGAGGAGATAGGCTCCTGAAGAGGGACATTTTACAAGGGCATGTAGTGGCAAGACAAGGGGGAATGGCTTTAAACTGACAGAGGGGAGATTCAGATTAGATATTGGGAAGAAATTCTTCCCTGTGAGGCTGGTGAGGCCCTGGCACAGGTTGCCCAGAGAATCTGTGGCTGCCCCATCCCTGGCAATGTTCAAGGCCAGGTTGGATGGGGCTTTGAACAACCTGGTCTAGTGGAAGGTGTCCCTGTCCATGGCAGGGAAGTTGGAACTGAATGAGCTTTTAGGTCCCTTCCAACCCAAACCATTCTGTGATTCTATGATCTAATAACACCTCAGGATTCAAACTCCATGAATCTCTCCGTAAACCTGGGAGAGCAGTCACAAAGTAGGTATGTGTTCCTGTGCTAGTATTCCTATGTGATAAGGTAATGAATGCTCTGTTACAATTTTTTAAAAGACGCAATAATAAGCCAGACACATGTAACTTGCCAATTCCGTGAAAATAACCTGGGAAAGTAGTATACAGCTGCAGGAAAAAAGTGGGAGAATGAACCAGGATGTTTCATTTCCTTTACTGGAATCCAGAAACTCAAATGGAAGTTGCTTATCAGGTTGCAAGCATAGCCAGAAATACATGCTAATAAATAATACTAAAATTGAAAGGAAAACAAAACTGGAGCTCATACACTTCTTCTGAGCTGCTGAAGTGCTATAGTTACATAGTACATGGTTGTTTCAATTGGCAAGATCAGATTTTGGTGAAACTATTTCTTATACTGAGTCCTAGGCATTTAGGAAAAGAATTTATAGCAGTTAATCTGTTCCTAGCTGGAGCCTGCAACTCAAAACAGGGCTTCTTTTGACAGAAATTGATCTCTTCTGGGAAGGTAACTAGTTCCCCACCTTCTTCTAGTTCTTGTTCAGACACCTCTTTGGGTCTAATCATAGCAATCAGAGACTCACAGAAGCACAGTCAATCAGGTTGGAAGACATCTCTGGAGGCCACCTTGGACAAGACCCTAATCAGAGAAAGACCAAATCAATCAGGTTGCTTAGGACTTTTTTCAGTACAGATTCAAATGTTTCCAAGGATGGAGATTCCACAACCTCCTTGGGCCCTTGTTCCAATATTGGACTACCCTGATGGTAACAAAGTTGTTTCTGATACCTAGCGGGAAATAGTTCTGATTTCCAACTATTGCCTCTTGCCCTGTCACTCTGTACCTTCAATAAAGACAAGGGCTGACTCATGCTCAACTTGTCCAACAGGACCTCCAGCTCCTTTTATGCAGAACTGTTTTCTACCTACCTGGCTTCCAGCCTGTCCTGTTGCATAAAGTTATTCCCTGACACAGGACTTCGCGTTTGCCTTTGTTAAACTTCATGAGATCCCCATCAACCCATTTATCCAGGATGCAGAGGTCCTTTTGAATAACATCCCTACCCTCCAGTGTAACAGCTGTGCCCTACAATTTGCTATCACTCACAAATTTGCTGTGAGTGCAGTTCATCCCATTGTTGAGGTCTTTAATAAAGGTGTTAAATAGTATTGACTCTAGTATCTATCCCTGCCTGAAGGCACTGCTAGTAAGTGACAGTTGGATTTTGTATCATTGGTCCCAGATAGCTTCCTGGGCCCAGCAATACAGCCAGTTGCAATGCCTGGCTTCCTAAGAAAGGCAGCTGTCAGGGCCTTTCAACGCTTGTGCCATTAATTTTAGTCAGTGGAGTCTGTGGCATCATTATTTTCATAACATAAGCAATAGAGGGCTGCCAATGAAGTGATCTGGTTGAAGGTTTAGAGCAAGTGAGTAAGCAGAAGGTAGTGGTAGTGTGAGAGATAGTAACTGAATCCTAGCAAAGGATATCAGAATGCATTGCCAGATCACCAGTCATCGCAAGACAATGGTTATAAGGCAACAACAGTTAAAAGGGGTTCAAAAGGGAGTAAATAAAATGGAGGACAAGTCCCAGTGATTTTAACTGATATTGAAAAGAAGTACTCCTGGAGCTTTCTTTGGCTCAGAAAGTTTCTGAACTGATTATTGCTGGAGAGAGAGGTCACTTCAGCTATTTTCATCCTCTTCCCATAAGTATGTACTATTAGTGATTGTAGAAGATGAGCTATCAGATGGACAGACCCATCTGTGTAAGCTATTATAGAGCACTTGACTTCCATCTCTTTTCGCACTGAAATCATGAAAGTACCAACAGGCTAAGTGGTAGTGAGGCAGAAGCTGAAGCAAAGAAGACATTGACTTTGTTACAATATACAGGAAGAAGCTGAGAAGGTTGGAGGTTCCCACTATCTTTTTCATCCTTTAGAAACCTCAATTTATTGCAAGCAGCAGGAAGAGAAAGTAGCAGCATATGGACTATTTAGAGTAATTGTTACAGCTCTGGGAAGAATTATATTTACCAGTTCTGTCTAAGCACTGAATGTCAACCAAGTAGGTCTGATGGATATGTGTGGGTAAAAGAGATATGTGGTAATTTGAAGGAACACAAGTATGCCAGCAAAGGCTTCTTCAACTTCCTGTGAGGGTGTTTTTCAGTTTTGAAATTATATCTCAGTCTGATAGGTAGTTTTCAGGCTTGCTGTGGTGAAAGTTGTTCACATGAAAGTATAATGCAGCCTATATTTGATTACTAATTATTTGGCATTTACATCTCCATTTTCTCAATTTTGTTTTACTTCTGGTCTGCAATGAACATCAGTAATACGTGGACCTCACAGATGCAGAAATCAGGAATTACAGCATGGAGATATTTATTGTGTAATAACTGAATTCAGTCATTGCAGCTCTTTGAAGTAAAACTGTAAATGGTTCATATAAAATAATTCTGGTTTTAAGGATAATGAGTTATATAATTTAGTAGCACTGGGAGATAACTTCTTTAAAAGTTGCTGTTGCTAATGCTTTTTCCGTACCAATTTCATGCTGTTAAAACTCCACCGGCATTAATGGAGTTAAACCTCATTTTCATTTCCATAAATGCAAAGAACGCTCAGTCTCAGTGATTTTTTGTACATACAGTTTCAAGTGTGCTTGAAACTGCTAAACCCACTTAATTCCACACAAAAATAAAGCCTAATGCAGAGAGATCTAATTGTTCTTATTTCACACATAAAACTCTGGCAGACAACAGAACAATGATATTCTGTTCTTTGACATTTTAGTGGTTGAACATTCAGAGGCTTTTTGAGCTGTATTTTTATCAATGAAAAGTCTGTGAAACCACTTAACCACAATTTATCTTGTATTAATGTAATCCTGTCCACCAGCTTCCATAGATGATGGAACTACTAACTGCCTGTATCAAAGGGAAGAAAAAGCATTTGATTTGTAAGATATAAATCAAATCTTTCGTTTCTTCCACTTTGATCAGCTTTGCTTATGTGGGCACATAATCTGACCCCCTTTGCCATCTAATTTTCAGCCTCGTTCCTCTCCCTCCCCTTAGTATTGAGCTTTTATCAAGGCCAGATTTTTTTTTTCTCTCTCCAGGGACTAGTCATGCCTCATTTATTCTCTTCTCAACGTGGCTCAGAAACCCTCTTGCAATCTTAAATCATTAGAAATACCCACTTCTTGCAACATAAGCTACTTCTGGGTTGTTGGTTTTTTTGTTACTAGGCTGCCGCTCTATGGCCATATGCATAAACTACAGGTTTAGTTCCACAATAAATTGTTTTTGAGGAGTTTCTGGGAATGTGCGATAGAATATCTGGGCTTCGTGTTCTGCAATGAGAATATGATTACTTTAAAGAGGATAAAGGAAAAGACTACCATTTCACCTGTAGGTATGCACCAGCTTGGTATCTTAAAAACATTACAGACTATCTTTTTGATCATTAATTCTGTACATACCTAACATGCAATTTACAACTCGTGTACCCTAACATGCAATTTACAACTGTGCTGCTTGACCTGGCTGTCTAATATAATGGTATTCTGAACTGGATTTTCAGATGAGAGAACGTTCAGTCTTTTGTGCCATAAAGCAAAAGTATATGCTTTCAAAATACCCTGGCTAGAAAAGCAAGTGGATGTTTATAGGCAGATACATGCCTGGTGTCCTTCATAAGTATGAAGTTTTGATGCTTTTGAATCTCAGCTGTAACTAAGCCAAGTGAACCAAACTGTGTTTTAAACGTAGAGGCTTATATGTAGCCATAGTGGTTTACAAACAGGTTAAAGGGACATCTAAACTTTTATTAAGAATTCTTTCAGTTATGCAAGGCTAGAATACACTGCCTAGTAGGTTATAATATAAATCACTGCTTTCATATGTGCTTCTAAAAGTGGAGAGGATTGAAATTTAGCAGATCTGCCTTCTGGAGTACCGTGAGCAAGCCTGAGTTTCACAGTGTCAAGACCCTGCGCTGACAAACCTCATGTTGAAGAGGGTGAGAATGCATATATGTATAGTATTACTCCTCCTCCTTGGGCAATTTTGCATGTTTCCATTCAGAAAGTGGAATAAGAGCAAGCTTGAGATGTGTTCCTGCCTTCATTTTTAGCACACCCGAGCTGAGATGAAAACTGCAAGGTTGATAGAGATCTAATATCTTGTAGATGTTAACTTATAAAGAACACAGTCCCTGGTTGATGTCCTGTCAGTGACCATCAGGTGCTACATAAAATATAGTGAGGGCTTCAAAATGATACTATTTTCTGTATAAACAATACCTACTGTTTGAAAGAAATCTCAAAAATCCAAGTCCAAACCAAAGGAAATTCATTCATTCAGGTGAATAAAAGAGGAAGGATTGGCTTGCTTGAAAACAAGCTCAACATTTTTGCTGCCTGTTTTCCTTTCAATAGTCTCCTGTATGTGCTCCTGGGTTTGCTGGAAGGCAGAGGGGAAGCAGGGTTGTTAAAAATTGAACAGCTTGCTCTTACTAAAATAAAAATCCATCATTGATGTGAACTAAAACAGGTGCTGACCTTTGGCCATGTCCGTTAACATTGTTCCAGAGACTCTCTACAGCATTTTAATATTTTGCGTTAATGTAGATTATTATTATAACAAGGGACAAAACTGCTTAGAGTAGTATTTTCCAGGATGTTCAGCCATTGGGCACCTTTGGTTTTGAAACAGAATCTGCTGTTAAAAGTGCTAATCAGTTCTGCCAAGAAGGTAACAGTGACAATGTCCTAATTAACCAAACAGTAATATGTATTAGGAAGCTCTCAATGCCACAGCTATAGCCCCCCATTTAGGAATATTACAAGTAAATTTACTATGAACAGGATATTGAGAAAGAAAGTGGGGAGGAGGGATTGTAAAACAGTATAAAGCAGGAGCTCAGAAAGAAGTTGGGTAACAAGCAGCTTGGGTTTCTAAACAGCTTGGGAACTAAACCAGTATAAAAGGAGATTAAAAATGGCCTCATTTTCTAAAGTACTTCTATAGCAGTCAGTGCAAGCAAGAGCAACACTAGAGATAGGGCTTAAAACCATATGCTGAAGTTGCAAGTGATAATATTGCAATATAATGAAACTATTTTTAAAGAACAGGGATTCTTACCAAATCGCTAGAGGCTGGAATGTGAAAGAAAGCAAGGCTGCCTGAAGCATGATGCAGGCAGCGCAAGATTCTCCTCTGTATCTTATTTGTTGTAGCAGAAGCATAAAGGTCCCTTGAATGCTGATCAGTGCCCTGTAGAAACCTGGTGAGTGCTGCAGTGCAGCAGAGTTTGACACCTAACACAGGCAGCTGAAACACTCAAGCCTACCAGAAAGGCTGAAGAGTGAGATTTAGAGCAGTAGACAGTGAGAAAGCACCAACACATTTTCTGCTGGATGGCACTATACCAGGTCTGCACACAAGCAAATTATGTTTGCAGGGGTGTACAGTTAGCAAAAGCTAGGTTAGCTGTAGTTTGCAAGAATTAACTGTTGAGTTAAGATGATGAACTGAACTGCAAACTAAACCAGATCCTGTAACAGTCAGCTCAGGTGTTGAGTAATTAACTGAATTATTTCCTTCACATGGAGATACTAAAATGTCCAACTTGTAACAAGTGCTGTGATTTTTTCCCTGAAATTTTTGTATCACATCATTGCCGTTTACCATTATTTTAATTCTGCATTCTTCCTAAATGGCTGGAAATGCCAGTGCAGCGTATTTCAGATATGGCTGCAATAAAGCTGCAACAGAGCTGTACAGAAGACCATTTATGCTGCTGAATTCCAAATACGATCCATGGCTATTCTCGAAATGCCACTGTTTCTTTGTTTTTACAATGGCATCATATAACAGGCCTGAATTGATTTGCATACTTTTCACCTATCTGGTCTGGCTCTGCTTTTGAGACCTTCGGTGTCCAAAACTGACATGTTTAAAACAAACAACATACCTCAATGTTTTTGAAATGTAAAAATGTCTTTAATACTCTCTATATCCTGAGAAAGGGACCTTTTCTTCCTTGTGCATCTAAGTTACTCACAAGGGGAAAAGACTTATAAAACCAAATCAACCTTAGAATCAAGACAGGGAAATATAAGTAACTACTTTTACCTTGTCTTCCTTTCCTCTTGTTCTGTTTACTAGAAATTAGTAAGCCAAGCAGATTCTGTGTATTTATCATAGTGCCCAGATGATTTAGTTATATCCAGAATCCAGCTGTGCCCAAACAGAAAGCGCCTAGAGGACTCAAATATAGTTTTCCCAGTTCTCCTGTCATTTGCCACTAAAGACCTTGGGTACCATCAAGAAACTAGCAAGGTTAGAACCCTAGAGAGACAGAGTTAATTCCCTGCTTCTGCCATCCCTGGTGAAATGCCATTTCACTTTTCTGTATTTCAGTTTCTGTGTGCATTGTATTTTCTTCCTCTTTTTTTTACTTCTGTCATTGCTTTGTTTCGTGTTGTTTTTTTTCCATATTTGTTTTGACAGTAAGCTCTTCAGCATAGGAATAGTGCATCTAAATGGCCCAGTCTGAGTTGGAAGTTCTTTGTGTTGGTGTAATGAAGCTAATAAATTCTTTAGTCCAGGCACTCTATCTCACTTCGTCACTTTATTTTACTACATGTAGTTCCTCACAGCATTTTCTGTTCACTAATATTCTGGTTTAGCCAGGACAAGCAGATTAGAAGGAGCAGGACTCCTGCTACTACCCTTGCAAAAAGGTGGAGGTCATGGCCAGATCCAGTTAAAGAACAAGAACCTGAGAGACACAGAAGTTAGTATTGCATTCAGCAACCCAGTGTTCTGCGCTTTCTCACCTCAGATTCAGCTTTTGCATTGAAATTATCTCCTGTCTTGATTTTCCTGCTTCAATTATCTGTACTGTTTGTTCTTTTTCTTCTCATGTTATTTTTCTTTTCATGTTATTAAGCTCTTTTTCTGCTGTCTTGACTGCAAAAATCTCATTCTGAATATACACAGCATCCCATACAACCTTCAGGCAGCGGTGAATCTCCAATACTGTTATTTATAATAGATATTTTGTGGACACTATACACACAATAGCAAATCTATTGAAGTGTAAAGAGAAAAATTGCTCAATACAATACAACTCTTCAGGAACACATTTTGGTGTAGCTCTCAATCACACACAAACATGAAGTTATACTGTCTGTCATAAAAGAATTGAATGTGATAAATTCTGTGAACAGTATACTAAAGCTGAAAAAGCTAGCCACTTTCACTGTACCAGCTCCAGGAAGCTGGCTTGATTTCCTTTTGGTCTTATATTTAACAAATTGCTATGAAATTATGCGGGTGTTCATTTCTTTCTCTTCAAAACACAGCTTTTTGAAACTTTATTCTTAAATATTTTCTGTTCACATCCTAATGGATAAATATTCACATCTCAGAATTTCCCACAGCTGGCAGAAATGGGCAGCCCTGTTGTTTGTTAGAAGAGAGGCAAAGGACTGAAATGGAATAGCTTTACTGCCCCATAAATGTGATCTCATTAAATCAATCTGCAGGTCTGGAAAATTCATAGTTCTTCCATTGGATTGCTTCAACACTGCATGTGTGTGTTCTGTGAATAATGTGGGGACTTACATGCCTGATCCAAAACCAGCTGAAGCTGGCAGAAAGAATCCATTGTTTTGATTGTAATTCCTTAGAGTGTATGTCCTCATCAGATTAAAATAGGTGTGCAGAAATACCTGTGCCAAGCTCCTGTGCCTGCTTGCAACTTAGGGGAAGCACTCATATTTCTGCTGTTTTTTTAAATGAGGAAACCCAATCCTGGTGCAGAAGGGAGCCAGCCAAATTAAGTAAACAATGGAGCAGGACTACAGGAGAATTTTTACACTGCATGTCTAGAAGCAGGAAGACTGAACTCACAGCCTTAGGGGAGGATAAGTATGACTAAACCGTATATTTGTGCTCCTCTGGTCCTGGGTTGCTCAGCTGTCTGAACTAGCTTCCAACTGGTGCTGAAGTTCTGGTTCTGACAGTTCCCATTTGCCATGTTTTGCAAAAGGCCTGTGAATAAACAGCCTTTCTACTCTTTATGACTTTATACTGTCACCAACAAGGACTCCACCAATTCCAGAATACTCCAACTATCTTAGCAGGCATAAAGTCAGTAGAGCACTCTTGCAAAGACATTTAAAGTGCGCAAGAACTGCTTCACTTTTTTTGAGATGTCCTAAGTAATATCCATGAGGCTCCCTTGCCAGGAAGCACTGTGGTGATACAGCTCTGTCTTCACTGTTTCAGTTCATCGCTGAGCTTATTCCCAAAACTAACAGGAGAGATGCAGAAGACATAACACTGGAGGCTGTGGTGAAACCACAGAACTTCCTTGCTGTCAGTGTCAGCCATATGGACTTTTCATAATTGTGCAAAAATACTATATAGAGAATAAATATATAAACACAACTTTTTATTGTAGCCAACAAAAGAGCAGTGTAACTGGGAGGAAAGTGAGGAATTAATCAAACGTGTAGTCGACCGTGCAAACATGAGAATTGTGCTATAAGGCCAGAATTTCTGTGAAATAACAAATACCTCAGAGTATCTTTTCATTCATTTTATTTCCTGGATTAAGTTATTAATGATTGCCAAGTGTTTGGGATATTTAGAAGACAGAAATAAACTAGAATGTATAGCAAGTTTGTCCTGACCCTCACTTTTCTATTGCTACCCCTTGCTTCCTGGCTCTCTTGCTTCTCCCTCTCTGTTCCTTAAACTGCTTGTCCTCATTGGTGACCATGTCGCAGTCCTTCACCAATTAAAAGCTTTTCAGGATAGTCCCTGTAGATGGTTTCTGATCTGACCATTTCTCCTGATTCCTTACTAGTCTTTAATAAAGGTGAGTCTCAGAAGTTCTTGCTTGAAATAAGCTTTCAAGCAGCATGTGTGTATTAGCCAGGCTGACTGAAGACAGAGGTAGTATGAGAACTGGGAGTCCTTTTAAAGAGTATTTTCAATATATAAAGATTCATGTGATGAGGCTCTGGAAACAAGACATTAAACAAATCAAAAATTAAGTCCAATGGGCATAATTTAAAAACCTTTTTACTTGGCTCAGTAGAATCTGTTCAGTTTTCTTTCTTAGGAGGGCCATGAACTTCTGTTTTTCCTGTTTCTTCTGGGCTCACTATTTGTATTCTGATATAACTGCACAGAAAAAGATTGCCTCTTGGAGAGTTCAGTTACATACGCTGTTCAAGTGATCCTGACAAGGATGAATGATAATAAAAATTGTCCATCTTTTGAACGTGATTTGGATTACACTGCAGAAATTACATGTCAATATGGGTAGAGATGTATGGGGGATATACACAAGAAATATAGGGTTATATGTGGACATGATTTGTCATTCCCCTCTTGACACTACTCACTCTACATGCCTGTTCTTTATTTATAAGCAAGAAGCATGCTGACATTTCAGTATTCCTTCAGCTCAACAGTTCAGTCACAGCAAGAAAAGCAACATGTGTAACCATGAATAGCCTGAGATTCATTTCACTTGATTTTCCAAGAATTTAATTGAAAGGTAAACCACAATGCTAATTTTACAGGGGTTTTGAAAAGTGGAGGCCAAATTTTAAGAGGAAAAAAATATGTATTAATAACATTTATAAGATGAATGAAGAAACTGGAAAATGGCATACAAAATTGTAGAAGTAATTTTAATAGTAATTACAGGACTGAACAGATGCTGTCCTGTTGTGCAACATGTTTTACTTTATCTAGTTCTGGGCTTTAATTCTATTAGTAGGGCCAGAAGTCAATCTTCACTTATTTCTATGAATTGTGTTTTCATTACTGAGGGAAATAGGAATGATCCCTGTGCCAGGGATGCTAGATAATGGTCCATGGTGGAACACACAAAAACAGAAAAGTACTGTTTGGCCATGGTAGCTCCTCCCCAGAAAGTCCTGCTTTGGCTCCTCCCTGGAAGGTCCTGCTTTGCCTCCTCCCTGGAAAAGTCCCGACCCTTGGAGACCTTTCCAGATATTGCTGGCTGCTTCTTCCTATGTAGGCTGGCCCTCTGTGTCAGAATGAGTGTGCATTTTTGTTAGTATAAAAGCCTGAGCCTCATGTGATGCTGAAAGGTAGAACCTCATATCACCCAGGTCAACACTGCCTCTGTGGGGATGCTAAGGTTAAGCCTGCCACTTCACACTGCAATGATGTTTCTTGGAGCTGGTTTCCTGATTGTCATTATATGGTCCTTGGGGTTGCTAAGATAACCAAACTTCAGAGATATCCTTTACTGTATCTTTTGCTACCTATATTTTCCCTGTATTAATAAACTAGTTATGATTCCTTATTGTGTTGCATTTCTCTCAACCCGGAATCCTCGAACTCTGGAACAATCACATATACACAGACACATGTAAATGTGTCACACAAATAAAAGTTGTGTTACGGTAATTACAAGGATGAAAAAAAGTGTATGAATTGAATTAGGCTTCAGTTAATTTCATTAACATGCCAGGGTACTGTGATCACTAGCATATTAGGAACATCTTAACAGTGATGATTTTCCATCTCTCATGCCCCTTTTGTATATAATTTTTGTCATACATTAGGAAATCATGAAAATTTATGGCTGTCCCTGAAAGTTTTGGTCTGATAGTGATGCAGAATGAATACAATACTTCTGCCAGTAGAAGACTAAGTATGTCAAAGTATTTCAGAGCAAATAAGATGGAGATTACATCCTGCAAATACAAGATATTTTGGTATTTTAAGTTAGCAAGAACCATTACACTCAGGGAAAAATTTGCTTCCTAGGGAAAACAGGAAGTGTAATTTAAGCGTTTTCATTCACTAAATCTGTTTTTAAACTCTCCAGAGAAAAATCAGGCCTGTAAATTTTCAGAATCCTTGAACAAATACCAAAAAAAGAATCAGAATGGAAACACTCAAGTATGTCACTCTTGCAGGTGTTAACACACCAGGTGAAATGTTAGCACATGTGAACCTGTCGAGTGCTAAGCAGTAACATTTTTTTTTTCAACAAGACATTTTTCATCAAGAAACAAAAAGAAAAGCCCTGCTAGACTCAGAAATCTCTGGTTCAGCCAACAGTATGTCAATATTATTGGGCTTCAGTTGCTAACAATTTGCAAGCTGGAGAATTAATAACCAGACTTAAGTTGCCACTATTCACTAATGAGGCTGCAACGTGACCTGCACACCTAACCAGCCATGAATAAAAAATAAAAAGCTCAAGGCTCACTTACAACAACTGTCAACTTAATGCGTTTCCTTTAGTACTAATCCAAAGACAGATGAGCCCTGGTGCTGCAGCAGTATATCAACATTCAGCCAGTGTAAGCACCAGAGTAAAACAAGAGACTATTTACTCCAGAAATTCTCAATATATATTTAACTTTGGCTGTGACCATTCCTACTGTCTCGTCCTGGGACTGGATGATAAACCCATATTAATCCCCTTGCAAGGCTGTATGTCCTGTAATTCTGTGAGATGGGACTAAGGTTTTATCTGCATACTTTTCATTCTCCTTTTGCAAATTTTTGCATTCCATTCTCAGTCTTTAATGGCTTCACCAATAATAATTGTGTTCACAAGAGCTATCAACAGAAGAAAACTCCGTGGTTGCTGCATAGATGAGATGCAGAGAAGAGAGTAATTCAAACCTACCTCTTTTATATGCACTCCTCCAATCTGGGCAAAAGGGGGGGTGTATGTAGATTTCATAGCTGAATTATGGATCAAAACCTGTTTTAATTATGTTTTAATCAAATCTGAACATCTCACTTGTTTTCTGTTCATTTGGAGGAGGTCTGAAGTTGTTATCCAGGTGCAAATCTGGGGCATGACCACATCCATAGATTTTCAGAATATAAAGGCTGTGTTACAACCCTGAAGGTTTTGTGGAATAAAGTTGTCTCTGAGAGCTGCTTCAGCACTGATAGGTTGTTCCTCGCTTCAGCACAGTGCTGAACACCCGGCTTTTGTGAAAGCATCCCATAAACTGATTCTGACACTCTCTTCCTTATTTTCCAGACCATTGAACTCTTACTGATCGGGAATTGAACACTGTAGAGATCCTTTAAACAACTTCTGGCATTTAGATAGGAGTTCGGGAGTTCACAGTAGATATAGTAGATTTCTTTCTGTGAAGTAATTCCTGGATGATAAAGTTAACCTGAAATAAGCATTTAGGAGCTTTTGTCTGTAAAGATAATTTAGTTACTCGATGGGAACTACCAGAAAGAGTGTAGAAAGCACAGGTGAGTGTGTCTGGAATCCTTTTTGCCCTACTAATTCCAGGATGTCACTTCCTGCCCTGGAAACAACAAAAACGTGTAAATTGGAGCAAAGCCTTTTCAGAGAAAGCAGGAATAGCCCACACCTTCTTCCATGTTGTAAAACCCCAGGAAATCCTACCCAGGCTTTTCTCTCATGCTTTCCACACTCCTAAAGCTTTCTGCTTAGCAGCTCCTTGAAGAATGTGGCATTTCCTTTGAGCTAATGAAATTGCAAAAAGCAGCTGTAAGATTTGGACTGAATGGGCTGTTTCTCTGTGAGGAAAGAGTGCAATTTCTTTTTTGGGAAAGGAATAAACATTGTGAAGAATAAACAGTATAAGTAGCTGCAGCCTGAGGAAGCAGGGGTTTGGGGTAGGCTAGAGAAGTTACAACATATGTGCATCAGAGAAGAGTAGACGAGACTGTGGTGACATACAATGCTACAGAACAGATGTGAGAGAAGTCTAAAAAGGTTTCAAAAATTATGCCTTATGGAAAACCTGAGTTGCTTCAGTTTTCAGCTGAGAACTTTTGTTTACAGATCTCACTCAAAAACCGGTTAGTGCAAAGCTCTGATGGAAGGTGTGAGTTTTCTGCGAGAAACTGTTCATCCAACCCAGGATTTTCCCAGCAGTACCTGCTTCATCAGTCCAGACCTCACGGGGAGCTCCAGACTTGGGCAGACACTTGGTTTTCACTTACATAACTAAAACAGAGTAAATTTGGTTACTGTTGTGAAATCATGTTCTAAACTTCAACTTGGTATCTTTTAATCACATGAATCTTTTGAATGATGCAATCCTATGATTAGAGTTGGTGAATATGGAAATAAAAAATCTGAATCCATTGAATGTGCATATGCAAAGTAATAATGAGGTAAAATAATAGGAAAAGGCCTCCATTGTTGGACTATTGCTAACAAAACTAAGCATCAAAGAGCTTAGCAAGAGGTCATTGACACTAAAACCACCAGAGTGTTTTGTAGTAGCAATGTATAAATAACATGAAACTATTACTAAGAGTCAGAAAGAAAAAAAAAGAATAGTTCTGCAGCTCAATTTTTCATCTATGTAAATAGTGTAGGTATCTCCTTGATTACTCTGGAGTTGTCAGCTCAGAAACTACAGTTGTTTAAATAAGTAGGTATAACTGGAGTGCAGGACCTCTTAAAAGCCTAGCAAAATAGGTTCTTACAAACGTGAATGTTGATGTCAAGCCTCAAGCCTCTTTAAAGCCAGTATGGAAGCACTGATGATGAGAATGCTTGTCATCATCTATTCCTCTATTGACACTTGGTGATTAGAGTGCAAGTTGTGTAAAATTGGAAGAGACAGGACTGACGCTATCATGTAGGACTATTTTTATTTTTCCCTTAATTGCTCCTGAGGTATGCAGGCCCTCCCTTCTGAGCAGATAAATTGAAAAATGAATGTCTGAGAAACAGTGCTATATCTTGCATCACGTTTGGCTGTCTGGCTTAAAATAAGCAGGTGCCATCCAAAATTTGTCAAGGGTCCTAGCCAAGTACTCAATCAAAGCTCTCAAACTGTTTTTCCAGTCTTCAGCTTTTATAAAAAAACAAATTGTTTTAAGAAGCTGTGTGGTGTTGAATGTATGACTGAAAAATAATGTCTGTAAGTGATCAAAATATTTGTTTTTAAAGCTGGAAACTCATAGTAGTCTATTTGGAAAACTTTCACATTGTTAAAGTGTTCTTCTATTAGAAAACACACATTAATGTACGTAGCATGTTACAACCTCATTAATATTAAACTTTTCAGCACTGAATTCACAAAGTAGTAATTATTATCAAAATATTTAATTGCAGAATTATCCTACTGATGAATATTAACATACCTTTGTGAACACTTCAGGTAAATGTGAACTGTGTCAGTGTTCAGCATAAGAAAAACACGGCAGAATGCCCGAATGCTCACAGATGGTATCATGGGTTAAAAAAACTGCCACCAAACCAACCAACCAAACCACAAAACCCAGGAGACTGCAAATCTTTGTATTGATCTGTGAAGGTTATCCACTTATATGTCATATATATTTCCAGTGAAAGGCAGTTGATGTGCGTTTCATGGCAGAAGAACAAAAGGAAGAATCAGAGCTACTCCTATCTGTAACCAACTTCAGTACTGTGAGAAACTTCTAAATGTACTGCAACAGACAAATTCATGACCCTGCTTCACCTTTGAAGATTCTTTAGGACTGCGTTTGCTGTCTTCTGTGAGTTTTTCCTTTGTCAGCTTTTTACACTGAAGTACAAACTGCAGCAGAAATGCTGGACTCTTATCCAGGGGCTGGCATTGTATGTTCCTAGGTATTAGATTCATGTGTGTCTAATATGATAATACTTCTTAAATCATGCTGTTGCCAGCTCACTTAGCACAACATGAACACTGTCTGCTGTTAATTCTCTGGTTATAGAGTAAACGTGAATACTTCAGGACTCAAACTACGAATCAATTTAGTCTTGACAGCCTCTCTTTCTAAGAAGCGTTTACCTCTGAACTAGCTTTCCATATTTCCTCACAGTTTTTCTATTTCTTTTCCTTATTTTCTTTAATCATGAAGGCTGTAGAATATTTATTAACCCATGAGTGATAATACTAACTATAGAGAAAAATACTAGTAGGGGATGTTTGTTAACATGGCAGGAGAGAAAAGGGTGCTTTTAATCACCAAAAGTGGGAACACAGGAAAAGTAACCAAAATTATTTGATATTATTATTGGGTTTTATTATTGATATTTGTTAATATTAAAAATTAACAACTGTAAGAATCTCCCCTGAAAAGGCGTTCCCCACTTGTCTGCCAATTTTTGGTCTTTTGAAGTTATTGGATTTGCTGCTTTCACGCAGAGATCCTTCTCATTTCTTGAGAGCAGTCTCAAAATCCCCAGTTTTGCTTAAGGTAATTTCCCAGTGTTTCAATAAGGAGGTATTTATTCAATGAAATCAATAATCCTCTATTTTAATCACCTTCACTCATCATAAAACCATCTACCGTTAGACTGTCGTCGTGCTGATATGCTGGGATACACAAGCAGTTGCAACAGTGCAAGAACCTTCACTTAGCTGGAGACATTTCAGGAAGCCTGCAGGCTCCTGATACATCATTCTCCAGCTACACTTAAACCCATTGGACCAGCAGAACACAAATGGAGATCAGATTATCAGATCTTGGCCCTCAGCAATGTCAGCTTCCTATGCTGGCTATATTGCCAACGTCATTCATCTGTTGAACTAGACCCGTGTTATTTTTACTCAGAATAAAAATAATGTTGTCATGTCCAAAGGCTACATTTTCCCTTTTGAAAACACTCTTTTTCATCCTTTGCATTTTAAAAAAATCCTTTGTGTGCATTCTTTTGTGGTCTGAGGCTCCTGTATCTCAGCCAAACACTGATACATTCATTGCAGGCTTCAGCTGCTTTGCAGAACCTGAATAGACATTGAGACTACACGGGCGACTTCAATTAAGCAGTTCTATAGAGCTGATATTTTTTGTTGAAAAACAGTGTCTTTTTGCAGGGCCAAACAAAGTGGCAATTCCAGGGATGCAAGTCAGAATAAAATACTTAAAAAATAATAACTGCCAAGGTGACTAATTGTAAGCATTCAGCAGAGAGTTCAAAGACCTATTTACCCAGTTGTTTCTTTCTTTTACTCTACCATTGTGAAAGTCCAAGTACATAAAGTACAGAAAATATGATAAAAGTAGGATTTGAGTGAGAAATTTCCAGATTTTAACAACCAAATTGCAGACTTTTTGAGATGTAAGGTTTGTTTTCTTGGAGAAGTGTAGATATGAAAATATACAAAGTCTTTTTATTCCTACGCACAGTATGCAGCAGAGATTCTCACTGAAGTACAAGAATGCAATTATTTTGCCCTGCTTGTAAGACACAAATACATTGTAGTTCATGAAGGGCTTTAAAGCAGCATATGCCACATGCTGATGTGTTCCTCTTAACTACCTGAGACTACAGCAAGTGCTCTGCTGCTTTTTTGTCTTTTTTATAAAACTTTTGCAGCTTGCTCCTGTGTGCTCTTTTTCTTCCCCTTCTACTTCTGTTTTATAATTTCTATCAGTTTATTCACTCAAAAGGAATAGAGGAGCTTCGTTCCTTGACTCTCTGGAGAGAATTACCCACATGGCTTTAATTTCTGCTGCACTTCAAATTGCTGAGTCCAATCCATCCCTCCCTCCTCTTTGTTTCCTTCTTCCCCTGGGCCCAGGAAACCAGCAGAAGTCTTTTTGTGTGTTCCAATCTGAGCCAAATTATCACAAATTACACTGTCTGGCCTATGCTATTATTAGACCAGCCAGCAACTGTGGCTCTTTTGATTCTTTCACCAGCTGGTTTTGTTGCTTGTCTCAAGACCCAAAAGCACAGCACTCTCCTCCCTCTAGAAACTGCTTACCCAGATAAAGGGCTGTGTCAGGATCTGTTCCAGACTGCTAAGGTAGATCTGTTTTTGCTGCTCATGAGCACTCTGACAGAGTTCCATCCATCTAGCTCCTGCAGACTTGTGAAAGCCTACCTCCTTCCTAGGTACCTCCATTATTTACGCACCTTTATCAGGTATCAAGCCTGATAAAGAAATGTATTGTTGTATTTGACAGGAAACTCTAAAGCTGTTTATCACTTGAAAATACCAACATAAACTACAAGTGAGTCACAGCTCAGTCAGTGTATAGATGAGTGCATCTGGCAAGTACTCACTAGAAGAGAATTACTTGTAAGAAATGGAGCTCTAGACATTCACCCTCTATCCCTTAGAGTTACATATTGGCAGATTTTGCAGCTGAGAGAAGTGAAGAGTATGTGAATATACTGTCTTGCACATTCCTGTATATTACCCTACATACACTTGTTCTGCAGGCATTTAAACCCTAAAAACCACCTCTGAGCTTGAATGCTTGTGGCATTTATATACAGGCAACATAAATACACCTACAGAAAACATACCCTGAAGAATTCAAGCTACTGGTAAGCAAACTCTTTTGGAGGCAGTGCTCATTATTGCATGTTTTTTGCAAAAAATGTTTCAGAAATATGATTCAAGTATCTCATGCAGTGCTGCTTTGCACTTGAATTTCGTTTAAATGCTGGGAATTTTTACTTGTTTCCAGTAGTACTGAAAAACTGTTTCCAGTACTGTTTAATATGTCGGTTATTGCTACCTGAATCTTGTATCCACATACAGATTGTATCTTAGTTTAATCTCTTCCTCTTTCCTTTCTCAGTTTGATCTCTTCCTTTCTTGAAATCTGTCTTCAATCAGTTCCATACATTTCTTGAGTGGCTTCTCTAGCTCTGAAACTCTGTCCCTGTCCCAGCTGCATTTCCTGCTGGCAGAGCTCAGTATCTGGCCAGAGACTTCATCACTTGATATATTAATTTCTAAGTATGACTTTCCATGTGAACACTAAGGAACTCTTGATGATTGTCAACATTAAATACTTATGATCCTTCTATACTGTATTATTTGATATGTTGGGAAATGTTTTCTTACCCATAGCTGGAACTACTCTGTTTGACATGTTTTTCTTAGGCCTAGGATCTCTCCAAAAGTTTTTTTCAGTTTTATATGCTTGGACATCTTGTTGTATTAATTTCAGCAACAAAAGAAGGTTTAATTCAATTTTCTGGCCTCTTTGAATTTGTGTTACGTTCTATGGTATATTTGGTTTTTCCTTCCTTGGTAATTTTACATGATAGCAAGCTTCCTTTCCTTCCCCTCACCCAGCAGTAGTGAAACACATCGTATAAAAAAAGGAGATATTCTGAAGTGGAAAATGGGCAGTCCTTGTTGCTCTTTGTGGTTAGTGGAGTTTCGGAACTGAACACAGGTGCTGTATTTTGGCTCTACAGGGAAGAACCAGAACACAACACATATTGTTTGTTTTACAAGGAAGTTCTCTTTTGTCTCTCACACATGCACATACCCGTGACTTTCCTCTCTTCTGCTATTCTTCCTCATACTTTCCGCATTAGAGCTACCTTTATGTGTTTCTCAGTACAGGTGAGGCTTTGTGACACAGCCATGGAGCTTATCTGTGGCAGCACTGCTTCACTGGGGAACTTTGTATCCGGCTTAAATAATGTACAGAGAATGCTGATCTTGCATTGAAGTCTGTGAGGTGAAATCTTTGGCTGCCATGCAATCCACCCATCTGAAGCATGAAGCTTCTGAAAACGCATACCTGCTGTACATTGAATTTTTTGCCTGGCCTTATGTCATTTTATACTATAAAGCGTTACGTACTTCAAAGTGGAACTGTTATACCACTTGAACCTTCCAGTGGAAAAAACATCTGTTAAGATCAATGATTGTAAAGCACATTGACAAGCACCCTTCACAACACGTGAAACATTAAGAAATGAATAGACAATCATTTGTATGATATATTTTCAGTTTTGTGATCACATACTTTTATTTTCAACCTGCACAATCTGCTTTATTCACTATACAGACCAGAGGGTGATTAGTGAGTCAGCACACATATTGCTCAACATTAGGATTACTCAATGTTTTGTTGTATCTTTCTGGTCTAATCTGTGGCCACATACTGATTTACTGCACCTTATTCACCTGCTTCAAAGTTGCATCTGAATTTAACTTCCCTATATATGCTTCTTGTTAGCGGTGCCTAATATCAAGTTATCTGTAAAAGCATATAGGACTTGGGTTTACAATAACTGTATGATTTGAAGAAGCAATATAACTTCAGTTTTGGGTATGAGAAATTGAGGCCCAGAAAATAAATATATGAAGGTTAAAACTAAAATTACACCTGACTTCTAACTGTCCACCTTGAAACGTGGCCAGATTTGTCCTATCGCTTCTGCGCTGGAAGTGTGTACCTCAACCGTTTCAAGTGTGTCCCTAAGATTACTTCTCCTTAAGTGGTTTAAACCACCCTGACCAACCCCACGCCAAGAAATACATCCTCCTGGCCGCGAAGCGTTGCCGGCCGCCGTTTGAACACGCCTGCCTTCTTCAGCCTATGGGCCACCCAGTGCCCGGCTCGGCAGGGCCGTGCTGCGGCCACCCCCTTCCCCTCGCCCCTAGGGGAGGGACATCTCCTATCCCCTCGCCTCAACCCCTTCTTTCTCCTTAGCACAGGGTGCTCGGGTTCAAACGCCCCCCAACTAGCATCGGCCATGACAAACCCTCCCGGAGCCCAGCCCGGCCCCAGGGGTGCCTCGAGGTGCTCGCCGCGGCGGAGCGCTGCCCGGCGGCGGCCGCCAGGTACCTCCCCCCGCTGCCGCCTCCTCCGCCCCCTTTTGTGGCGGTGCCGGGCGGCCGCTGGGTTTCCTGCTGACGCCGGAGAACCGCGGATGGGCAGGAAAGGCCGCCCCCGCCGCCTCTGCTCCAGCCCGCTGGCTCCCGCCTCGGCCCCGCTCGCCCCGCCGGCAGGAGCGCGGAGCGGGCCGCACTGAAAGCCCGCCAGGAGAAGCGGGCGGAGAGGGCGCAGGTGCGGGGCAGGCCCGAGCGGCAGTGCTGAGGGGAGCGGACATGGCAGCCCCCGCTTCTTGAATGCTGTCAGCTACCCCCCTGCCGCCGATGGCTGAAGCCTGGAGGCTGGAGGAGGACGAGGAGGAGCTGCGGGAGCTCGGCCGGAGGCACCGGAGGGTCGCCCTGAGCTCGGCGGCAGGTGAGGGGCGGGGGGCGCGGCGGGCCGTGGCGTCTCTTGCATTGGGCCAGCCCTGGCCCGGTCGCCGGCTCTGAGACCCTGAAAGGGGCTGGGTGGTGTTGGCGGTGCCGCCCCAGTGTGTGCCGACCTGGGCAGCTTCACCCACGGTCACCTCAGCTCAGGTGCAGCCGAGCTATGGGCCGGTGTGGTCCGTACCCCGCGTGCTCACCTCCCTGAGGGTCAGCCCCAGAGGCCATGCCTTCTCTGAACTGATGCTGACACGGACATGCGCTGACCACCAGAGATAAATCCAGATGCTTAAGATGCCACATAAGGAAATAAAATACCGATTTTTCTTGGGAGTACCAAGGTGGAGGAACGTCTACATGTCAAAGTTGACCACATGTAACCATCTCCATGTGGATATAGACAGCAGGCCTTGCAAACAGGAGGCAAGAATCAGTGTACGTGAAAAGGCATGGTGATAGGAGCTTGGGAGCAGGCAATGTCTTTATAGAGAGACTAGAAGGTCACAACAAGTATTTATTTGAAACACCAAAATCCAGTGGACCCTGGCAGCAGTTGATAGTATATAATTCAGATATCATTGTTAACCAAGGGGCAACACATGTATCACCTTCCTGTAGTCACTGAGGTGTGAATGTAAGCATTTCTTTTTCTGTCAGCATAAAATTCCCTTCAGAATGAATCGTTTTCATAAGGGCTGTTTCCGGTGAAAATATCAGCCATACAGTGTATTTAAAGTTGAATTCCAAATATTCCGATTTTGTATAGTTCTGATACAACCTTAACGATATAGCAGCTGATACAATTCATGTGGTTTTGCATCCATAAGCAACACTAAATTGAGTGTTCCTTTGTAGATGACAAAAACACAGCAATTTGAGGGACTGGGGGGGACAACTCGGGACAGGCAGGTCCTGTGGCTTCCGGTGACCCTGCACATGGCACTGGATAGCTGGGCAGGTGCAGGATTAGCAGGAGCCAGTTGAGACCATTGTGGCTTGGCATGTGTGCAGGGGTTTGCCTTCTCTAGGTGAAGGGTGCAAAAAACCAAGTGTTGGCTCCTGAATCGTTTCCTCAAGAGCTGAATGTTCACACTGCTAGTCACAATGTCTGGGTTTTAAAGGTACTTCTGGAGATTTTTATTAGCAGAAAACATACAATTGGTTCTGCTGCTTTTATATATATATATATACATACATACATATTATATATATATATAACTTTGCTGCCTTCTTGTAGAGCAAACCTTGTTCTCATGGTTTGTCTTTAGCACAGTGCTACTATCAGTAATAAAGGACCTATGTCCTTTTTTTTAAACTTTTATTATTACCTTGTCCTGACAATCCCTCTTTGAAATGGGCCAGGCACTGTTTACATTAGTAGTGTAAAGTATGTGTGAATGAATGGCATTCTGCTTTAGCTGTCTCGCCTTCTTTCCATCTGTTCGCAAGACTCTACAGTCGAAAACAGAATCTTCATGCCACATGAAGATTCCCAGCGGAGCTTTCTTAAGGCAACTGTGAAGAGTATCACCCAAAGTGCATGAGTTTGCTGTTCTTCCTATATTTGACAATTCTCTTATGCCTCTATTTATAAGCCTATTGAAAATAAGTGGGGTGGTATTTTTTGTTTTTGCATGTAATACGCAGTTACACTACCAAAACGGTAATGTAAATAGGTGTTAGATAAGCCTGCTGGATATTTTTGCAGGGTCTAAGAAATGTTGTAGATGCATCTTTGCAGACAGTCAATTTAAGCATTTCAGTCTGTTAAACTAATTGTGAATGTGAGCAATTTAAATTTCTGGTATGTGCAGCTTATGCACGAAAGTTCATAAGGGCAGTTGTTCACCTTTGTCCTGCACGTATAAGGCTTGTATACAAAGTGGTAGTTGAAAGGTGAAAGTTCACAAATGCTTCTGTCTTACTAAACACTCAGACATGTAATTAGCGATGTTTTATTGGAGGACCAGAACACAGGAAACTGTGAAACAAAGAAGTAGTATTTTCCCTGGAAGCTAGTCACAGTTGTGCTACGCCACATACTGTAGGATGAAGCCAGCTAAACTAATCTAACAGCTTTTTGCTGCTGGAGGTGTGATCTCTTCTGTGGATGTTCACTTCTGTTCTCTTCTGTGTGTCAGCTCCGCTGCTTGCCCGGCCTGCTGGTGAGTGGAGTTGCCAAAGTTGTGGTTTGGTGGCAGCCTGGGCTGATCTACCCAGTAGCTGCTGAGGGCTCGCTTGGAGCTCTTGTGCTCACTGGAACCTGCACCAACCTGTTCTGATACATTGGCTGAGCTGAGAACCATTTTTCTTGTCCTCTTCAGTGGATGGGAGTCTGCTGATTCAGCTGTCTGGAATGGTTTTGTAGAGGTTGTGATGAATGTTGAAGCTGGCACAAGGGAAAGAGTAGGAACATGCAGCCGGAGGGAGGTAAGAGACTATGCCAGTGAGGAGTTAGTTTGGCTGAGGTTGCTGCGAAACTGCAGCCTGCAAGCTGTTAGAGATCTGCTCATGTAGGGGTTTTTATTTGGTTGTTTGGGAGGTCGGTTGGTTGGTTAGTCATTTTTTGTTTGTTTCTGGATTGGGGGCATTTTTGCTGGTTTAATGAGCTGAAGAGGCTTGTTTAAGCACTAGACAAGTGGTAGAGCTGATGTTAAAGCAGGAAATGAAAACTTGGAGACATGAGCAGATGAGATTGGCAGGACCATCCTTGTCCATGGAGCAGGTGTAGATAGCTCAGGTGACTTGTCTGATTGTTTTTGCCCCACTGCATGTCATGGCGATGGAAATGTTTTTCTGAATTCAAGAAAAATTCTGGAAAACCTGTGAGAAGATGTTAAGTAGAGAAATCTGAGACTGTTCTAATGAAATTACTTTCCCTTTGAGAAAATGAGTATTTGATTATTTTTTAATACATGTATAGTATCATCTAAGTGATAAGAAGGAGAACTAGGATACAATCTTTACAAATTCAGAAGAATAAAAGTAGCTGCATGAGTTCATTAAACTGAATTATCTGGTCACTTACTGTGGGAAAGGAAGCCACTCTTGATGGAAACCTTTAGGGATTTTTTACTGCTATATAAATAAGTAACATAATTGATTTCTACCCCTGTTGTTGCTTATTTCTGTCACATACATTATTGCTCTGGGAAGTAATAAAAAATGCTGGAATTTTTATGTTTAGTGGTTTTATTTAGTTTGATTTTAATAAAGTGGAAGCAAAAAAAAAAAAAAAACCCCAAACAACCAACAACAGCAAAAAAATGAAACTAAAATCCTATTTCCTTACAGACTTACGGGCTCTCTCCAGCCTAACTTTGGACCTTAATCTGGTGTGCTTTTCCATTCTGACTAGCTTTTTATTCTGTGACTACTGACTAACATAAGCAAACTTGCAGGAAAGTTTATAGTGAATGTAGTTAATCTTAGTTATGAACTACATTGGTTAATTATGTGTCCTTGCTGCTGCGTTAGGGCTGAGGGAATATCTCAGTATTCTGATGTTATCTAAAGTGCACAAGGCATTCTTAACATAATCAGTGTCTGTATTATTTCACTTTGAATTCTGGTCAGTGTTCCTTGAGAAAAAATAGCCCATTATGGATGTGGCAGATGTTTCTTTACTTAGAAATAAAATAGAATTGCCCAATATAGAAGTCAATAATGAAATTTATTTGGGTTCATAATGAAGAGCTATTGGGATTTGTACTTTATTGTGTGGTTAAAAGTACAGATGGTCAATAATACAAGGCAAGGCTTTGACTTAGTTTAGTATTGCTCTGTTTTACTTGTCACAAATGCTTGTCTGTGGTTTGTTCCCACACAGTGGCTGTAAATTTTGCACATTTTGCTATGCTGACTGAAATATCTCTGGTTTGGTTTGTTTGTTTGTTTGTTTTTTGTCTACACCCTCCTTCCTCTCATTTCTCTGTAGCGTTCCAGATGTTTTCTGGAACCTTTTAAAATCTATCAGATAATTTTAGACTATGGCTGAAATAATCTATTTGTGGTTGGTTGATCGACTGAGTCCTTTGTTGGCGTTTGCTTTGTTGGCTATTTTTTTTTTTTCCAAAACAAGATCTAGTTCAGAGTTGGATCAATTCGTTATGCTTCCACAACTCCCACATCAAACTGGTGCTGACTTGTTTTGGAAGCTGAGAACAATGAGCTGTGTCCAGTATAACAAATTAAGGTTGACTATTTCACTGCTCAACATGCTGAGAGGTTATGGGGGTACATTTGTGTAGTGTATCTGATGAAATTCAGTGAACATGAATTTGCAAGCATCATGGACTTTTTACAGATAAATGAATGCTCACCAATTGTTTCCATGTTAATGCAAAATATATATTAAGAAGTAAAGAAAAAGATGGTCTGAAATTTTTCATGGATCATAACATGAACATCTTGACCTTAGTACTTCCTAAGGGGTGCTGGTGACTCTGGAGCAGAGAGAAAGCATGATTAGGGGAAAGGTGACTCTTAAGAGTTAGTTGCTGTGTTCTTAAAATTATAACTAAATCTTATATTTAAGAAGCATAAAGATCTGCATCTTACAGAATGGAATTCAGCTTTGTTCAGTTGGAAACTTCTTCCTCTGCATGCCTATGTTCTTTAGTGCTGATCTGGAAATTGCTCTGCTTGTCCATAGTGAGGATAGCCATTATTGCCTCTTATTCAGTGAAGAATGAGTGGGGGATGTATGTGAGCAGGTATTTGTTTTACGTATTTGATCAGTATTCTCAAATGGTCAGGAAGCAGTAGGATTGATTGTCAGCTGGGTGTTTCTCTTCCATCTTTCTCTGGGGATTTAGTCTATTTTGGTTTTGTAGTCCCAGTGGAGGCTGAAGGGCTTCAGTTTTAATAATTGCCTGGGACACCACCAAGGTAAAACACTTGACATTTGAGGAGCACAGATAATGTAGCTCTGCTGTAATAATCTCTAACTGGTGCTGATACGTTGTATCATGCAAGTGTTAAAAAGATTAC